AACAGAAACAGACTGTGTAATTAAGTACGAAATTGCATAGGCCCAGAGTAGAGGCAACGTTTAGAACCTCCAGGCTAAGACTAGACAGTTTAATACCAGGGCTGGATTCCTCACCCCTGCTCACCCATTGTCTGTGACAGGAGAGTAACCTGGAGGCCAAGCATGGGAGAGAGACGGGGCTGTAGGTCTGGGGGTCATTTCTGTAGATCCCAGACATTCTTCTGCTGCAGTGTTTTCTTCCCTCTGCAGCCCACACCTGAAACTGAGGCTAAAACTTCTGTGAATGGAGAAATTTCAGACGGACTTTATACTCCCTCTGCCCTTCCCACCCTACAGATACAGGTCCTGGGAGGGAGAGGGGAGTCAAGGCAGATCCCCCAGAGCAAGTGGGGCTTATCAGATGCAAATTTTCCCACGGGACAACTGAAACTTGAAGTCTGGGCATGTTTGGAAGCCAGTGAAGGTGAAAAGTGTGGAGGAGGAGCTGAAAGGCTGTGTTGGGACTTGGGATTAGAAGAAGGGGAGTGTGGATAGCTGCAACCATCATTATTGCCATCGTGATCATCATCATCCCTTAAATTTATATCACACTAGACTTTACAAAGAGCTTTCTATCTCAACTTTCACGTGTCTGTGGGGTGGCAGGGCAGGAATTACCCCGATTTTGCTGATCTCCCAACAACACGCTGGATGCAAGGCAGGGTCTGTACCCTAAGCCGCATCTCCAGTCCCTCCTCAGGAGCCCACAGGGCTCCCGTCAGTTCATTGGGAAAGCGAAGTAGGGACATGAGCAACGCAGGGACACATGCCCCGCGGGTGGAAGAACAAACACGGCAAGAGATCTGGAAATGGCCAGAGGCTAAAGCAGTTTCGGAAGGGAGAGATGGAGGGGTCGGAAACGTGTGACAACTCTGAAAGCTCTGTCCGCTTCTGGGCTAAGTCCTGAGCCACCTGGAAGGTGCACAGATGCCCACAGGGCACTCCCAGCCCTGTCCGCGGAGGTAGGGGATGACTTCGTCCCCGCGCGCTTAGTGACTGCGGGGCTCGGAAAGTCAAGCTTCCCGGGGCGCCCCACAGAGGGTGCGAGCGAGGTGGCGCCGCCCCCTCCCGGACGCGCGTCGAGCGCCCTCTGTCACCCCACGCCGCCCTGCCCGGGGCCAGGGGAGGAGCAGGCCCGCCCAGGTGCGCCGGGGGTTGGGCCGCAGTCCGGAAGGTGCGCCGTCCCGCCCCGCCCCGGGCCTGTCCCCACGACCTCCCCCCGCGTGAAAGTGAAAGTGTCGGGCCCGCGGAGGTCGCGCACTGGGGGGCGGGGCCGGCGCGGACCCGGGAGCGGGCGCTGGGCACTGGAGGGGCCATGGATGGGCTCGGCCGCCGCCTCCGAGCCAGCCTGAAACTGAAGCGCGGCCGTGGGGGTTAGTGCCGGGCCGGGGCGGGCCGGGGCCAGGGCGCGGGGCAGCGCGGGGACGGGGACAGGACAGGGGGCTGAGTCGGGCGCGGCACAGGGGAGGGCGCGGATGGTGGGATCCCGGGAGCAGTGTGAGGGGCATTCGGGAGGGCTGGGCAGGGGTCAGGAAGCTGGAGAGAGGGCGCAGGTAAAGGTGGAAAGGGGCAGGTAGGGACGGGGTTGGAGGTCGGAGGAGTGGCCAGGCAGCGTGGGTGGGGGGAGTCGGCCGGCCAGAGGAAACGGTTCTGTGGGGCCCCGGGGCCACGTGTCCTTCCAGCAGGAAGCTTGTGGTGCAACCGCAGGGTGCCTGAAGCGCCCGGGCCGCGGC